ATTGCACTAAGGCATATCACTAACCCTGACCAAAGTGGCCTAACCACATAAGGATTAGTTTTCCTCACAAAGCAAGATGTTCCATAAATAATTAGTTCAGGGCAGCTATGGTGATTCTCAGTGCCGTCAGAGACTTAGGTTTCTCCTGTGTTCTTACTCTGTGCCAGCTTTAGCATGTGCCAAGCTGTTGAATGACACAATGCTGGGGACCCTATCATGTTATGCAAAAATAGATATTTTTCCATTTGCTTCTGAAGATCTAATCTTCACCATTCTTCAACCTGTTCAGTGTCCTGAGAGGCTGACCTAAATGGATTATGTCACTTGAGCTCCCTTACCCTCTGACTTCCAGTTCCACAGACCAACAAGAGGCTGTGAGGATGGGTCCCTTTTGTGTAGATCATCCCAGGTTGGCTGTACCCCAACATACACACTCTCTCTCAGTTCTGGAAACCACTCTCTCCTCTTGCCCTTCAGGGCTAGGGGTGGTAAGGACTCCCAGCTATTGCTAACCCCAGGGTACTGCACCATCTCTTAGCTGTGTTTACCTAACACTGACTACACCTTTTCAATTAGTGCATTTAAAAAAAAACACGTCTCCACCATTACTCTATTGAAGAGAACCGTCTGTGTCCTTCCAGGACTCTGACTGATTTGCCTCTGTAGTTGCTGTGCATAATCAGTGTGGCCGTAGTGAGCAGTGTGGGCCTTTTATCCTCAGATCTCAAGGTGACTACATCACCTCTAGTCATAAAGGTTGGATTTCAGACAGGAAGAAAGGGCAAAAGACACCAAACAGCTCTTTGCCAGGAAAGCAATAGCTTTCGAGGAAGTCCCAGGCAGCAGACTTCTGCTCACATGCCACTCCAGCTGCAGGACATCCAAGGAGGGGAATGTTTTCAACTGGGCACATTGCTGCCCCAAATGAAATAGAGCTTCTGTTAGAAGAAGCAGAGGACAGTTATTAAGTAGGAGACCAGCAGTGTGTCTTACATCACCTAGCACATTTGAACTTTAAAAAAAAATTACTAATAACTTACTATTGCAATTATTTTCTCTAGTTCACACCTTGGGGCTTCTTTATTAAGCAACGATAATAAGATTAGTACAGCCATTGTGAAAAATAGTATGGAGTCTCCTCAAAAAATTAAAAATAGAACTTCTGCAGGATCCGGCAACCTCAATTATAGGTATCTGTCCAAAGGAAATGAAATCAGTATTTCAAAGGGATATCTGCACCCCCATGTGCATTACAGCATTATTCACAATAGCCAAGATATGGAAAGAACATAAGTGTCTATTAGTGGGTAAAGATATTGTGGTACACACATATTAGCACAATGGAATATTATTCAGCCATAGGAAAGGAGGTCCTGTCCTTTGCAACAACATGAATGAAACTTGAGGGCATTATGCTAAGTGAAATAAGCCAGACACAGAAAGTCAAATACTGTATGATCTTATATGTGGAATCTAAGAAAGTTTAACTCATAAAAGCAGAGAGTAGGTAGCATGGTGTTGCCAGGGACTGGAGAGTGGGGAAAATGGGTAGGTGTCGGTCAAAGCATGCAAACTTTCAATGGTAGATGTTGGTCAAAGGGTATAAACTTTCAGTTATAAGATGAGCAAGTTCTGGGGATCTAATGTAAAACATGGGTGGTGATTGATGTTTTAATTAATTTGATTGTGGTGATATTACACAAGGTACACATATATCAAATCATCACTTTATATATCTTGAATAGAGTCAATCTTTGTTAGGTAAGTATTTAAATTCAAATACTCAATTAAATATTATTAAATTAAATCAATTAAACATTATAATTAAATTTCAATTAAATATTAATTGTTTAAAAAAACAACAGCAATAAAAACATCCATTTTTTGAGCCCTTACTGAGTGCTTTACATGATGTCTTTCTTTTTTTTTTTTTTTTTTTTGCCCAGGCTAGAGTGAGTGCCCTGGCTTCAGCCTAGCTCACAGCAACCTCAAACTCCTGGGCTCAAGCAATCCTGCTGTCTCAGCCTCCCAAGTAGCTGGGACTACAGGCATGCACCACTATGCCCGGCTGACTTTTTTTTTTCTATAATATATTAGTTGGCCAATTAATTTCTTTCTATTTATAGTAGAGACGGGGTCTTGCTCTTGCTCAGGCTGGTTTTGAACTTCTGACTTTGAGCAATCTGCCCGCCTTGGCCTCCCAGAGTGCTAGGATTACAGGCGTGAGGCACAGCGCCCAGCCTACATGATGTCTTTTAACTTGCACAAGAGTCCTATTAGCCTTCTCTACATAATAGATGAGGAAACTGGAAGTAAGACCTGCAGTAATTTGTAAAATATAATGGCTGACATACACACTAGGTCTGTCCATCTCCAAAGCCCGTGCTGGTAGCCCCTATGCTATCAGAGTGTCACTTATGTCCTGTGTCTCTTTCTTTTCTCATTTCTTTCCCAAGGAGGAATGTGTACATACAATGTGAAAATCTAGGTCATAGATAGCAATCATCTTACATCCTCAGAACATGGTACAGCAGGAATAAAGGAGAAAGAAGCTGGAGTCAGAGATGATAGGGGTCAGGGAGAAAGTGTAGAACATTCTGCTAAGTGGATGAGAGATGCAAAGGAGATGACACAATCTTTGGAGGAAGTTGGACTGGGCAGGTGTCAGCTCAGGATGCTGTTAACCATGATGCTTTAGGACATGTCTGAGGGACTTCCCTGTTGCACCTGACAGTGCATAACTCTAGAAGGGCAGTGGAAACCCCTGAAACAGGAAGTGTTGATTTTATTTTTGCTCAGGTGTATGCCATGAGGACTGGAGCAGGAGTACTAAGAGCATAGTACACTGTGTTGAACCTTCTGACTTCCCAGAGGTGACCAGTAAAATGTATCTTCACCCCAACCACAGATAAATACCTTACAACTGTGTTTGTTAGCTAAAACATTGAGTGGAGTTGTGCTTTAAAATAAGGCACAACATTTCCATGAAGGCACCTGTGTAAAAAAAAAAAAATAAAAAAAAAAAATAAAAAAAAAATAAGGCACAACTTGCCAGGTATGGTGGCTCGCACCTGTAGTCCCAGCTACTCAGGAGGCTGAGGTGGGAGGATCACTTAAGCCCAAGAGTTCAAGTCCAGCCTGGGCAACCTAGCAAGACCCCATTTCTAAAAATAATAATAATAATAATAAAATAAGGTAAAAAAATAATAAAATAAAATAAGGTACTTAGCAGGGAGTGAAGAGAGAAGAGGAATGGCATAATGTCAAGCCTGCTACCAAGAGAAAGAATACACTGGCTGGATTGTGAGAGGGCTTCAGGGTGAGAGTACATAAGGAAACACTGTCAGACAGTCCATAATTCTACATAAACAGCACTCAATGCAGAAGGATGACCAACTGAAGACTGTGGATGCAGCCACACTCAGCCTCCTGAGTAGCTGGGACTACAGGCATGCACCACCATGCCCGGCTAAGTATTTACTTTTTAATTTGTAAATTTTATGAAATCTAAATATATCTTAAGTGTTTCTGATGAAATTCAGTGTTGGAATTGAGATGTGCTTCAAATGTAAAATATACATGAAATTTCATGTTTAAAAAAGTGAATGTAAAGTGTCTTGTTGAGGTTTTATATTGAAATGATAATATTTTGTTGGATAACATATGTTGGATAAAATAAATCATTAAAATAGATTTTATCTCTTTGTATTTTTCTTAATGTGGCTACTAGAAAATTGAAAATAACAGTGTGGTTTGCATTATATTTCTGTCTGAGAGCACCACTTTAACCACTTCGGCACCAGGGTTGAATATAGTCGACAGCCACAGATGAACGGGCACAGCCAAGTGTGGACTTTAGCCGACAGCCATGATATGACTTTTCTAATTTTTCATTTATCAAAATAAAATTGTGAACATTTAAAAATAACGTAATACAAGCATATATGTATATGTTACCTATCCTGATTTACATTACCAGTAAAGCTGCCTATAAAGTAAAACAAGCTTGCAGTGCTTTAAAGCTTTCCTCATCACACAAGAGCAAAATGGATTCGTCCTCAATGCACAGCACAAACTATCGCAGGGACTATGAGAGCCGGCTGTGGGCAAGGTTTCCTGGCTGGTGAGCGTGGTAGGGAAGTGGTTAAAAGGAAACAGTGAGCAGGGAGATTCTTACTTCCTTATGGGAACTAGGAAAATGGGCCATTGCAGAAATGAATTCCAGATCCCAGGCAAAGTGCTGGCACTGCTTCCCAGGTTTCTGAGACTCGGTGGCAGAAATACAGAACAGCCCAGACTGCTGTGGAGGTCACCTCCCTGCCCGACTCCTCCCCAGGTTCAGGCACAAAACACTCCATCTTGAATCTTTTGTCATTGTCACTGTCTTGGTAGAATGAGACCCTGGTTGTTATCTGTTTTTGTTGTTATTGTTGTTGTTTTGAGACAGAGTCTCACTCTTGTTGCTCAGGCTAGAGTGCAGTGGCATCAGCCTAGCTCACAGCAACTTCAACCTCCTGGACTCAAGCGATCCTCCTGCCTCAGCCTCCAGAGTAGCTGGGACTACAGGCATGCACCACCATGCCCAGCTAATTTTTTCTATATATTTTTAGTTGTCCAATTAATTTCTTTCTATTTTTAGTAGAGACAGGGGTCTTGCTCTTGCTCAGGCTGGTTTCGAACTCCTGACCTTGAGCAATCCGCCTGCCTCTGCCTCCCAGAGTGCTAGGATTACAGGCGTGAGCCACCGCGCCTGGCCGTTATCTGGATTTTAATTTGAGAGCAACAGCATTTTATTGACTACGGAGTTTCGGAAATTAGTGCTCAGGAAGATTTTCAAACTCGGTGTAAACTTTCTCACTTCTGTTCTCTCAAAGTCTACCTTAGACCCAACGTGTGGCAGAAACACCCTCTAAGCATTTGCTCTTCTCTGGGTTGGAGTCCTTTCCTCCAGAACGGCCTTGTTTGCGAAGCGCTTCGCACGCAGACGGCTGGGCCAGGCTGCGAGAGGAAGCCGGCGGTCCCGGGCCGCCCGCCGAGCACATCTGGAAGTGGTTTCGGCCCGCCTCGCTCTGCCAGCGCGACGCCTGGGCTCCCGGCTGCGCTGCGCAGCGGCGGAGGAAACCCAGCGCTCCAAGTCAACGCAAGCAAAGGGGGTGTGGGTGTGGGACGCATATTCTTTTGGAAACGTAATACTGGCCTCGGGGCTGTCCAGCCCTCTGGGACTTCCAGCGGGATCTTAGAAGCAGCTGGAGCAGCGTGAGGGCAGCAGCCCAGGGCCAGCCACGATTGGAACGCTCTGCCCTGCAGCTCTTCTGGACCCAGGAGCCAAAGCCCTACCCTCACCATTCACCAGGTAAATAGAGAGATTTACGAGCAGCCTGAAGTCTTTCCATCTGACCCTGGCCCGTCTGCAGCAGCCCTTTATTTTGCTACAGACCCAAGAAAGTAAACCAGAGGCGTCAGGCTGTCGCGCACAAACTTTGCCTTAGAAGTGCCCCAGTCCGTATTTGTAGCATTCCAACGGAACCGTTTGGGTTTTTTTTTGCCATTTGCAACGAATCCAGCGTGCAAGATATTCACATCCTGGACTGCTGCTCCAGACCTGAGTTTATTCCCCTTTCTCCCCCCGAAATAGTATGATTTACTATTTGCATCAGATTTTAAGCGTAGAAGTCAGCAGTTGGGGCGTGGCTAAATGCTAATATTTAATACAGATATGTTCTGAGCCACAAATGATTCAATTGAGCTGTGATTGATGTTTTCAGAATCTATCCTAGGAAGCTGTTCTAATGGCCTCCCCCCTCACCCCACCCCCACTCCCGCCACCTCCAGAACCCGCAGTTGTGGAGACCTATGTGGGGCTTATTGTAAATACAGTAGTCATAGTCCTAAGATTGAAAATGCTTTTTTTATTTTTCTTTTTTTGAGACAGAGTCTCGCTTTGTTGCCCAGGCTAGAGTGAGTGCCGTGGCGTCAGCCTAGCTCACAGCAACCTCAAACTCCTGGGCTCAAGCAATCCTCCTGCCTCAGCCTCCCGAGTGGCTGGGACCACAGGCATGCGCCACCATGCCCGGCTGATTTTTTCTCTATATATTAGTTGGCCAATTAATTTCTTCCTATTTATAGTAGAGACGGGGTCTTGCTCTTGCTCAGGCTGGTTTCGAACTCCTGACCTCGAGCAATCCGCCCGCCTCGGCCTCCCAGAGTGCTAGGATTACAGGCTTGAGCCACCGTACCTGGCCTGAAAAATGCTTTTTAACATTCCAAAAATGTCTCATGTTCACTTTATGAGCTGAGTGTAATACACTAGATAAGGTTGATATAGCCTGATATATAATTTATGACATACTTAAGAAGGGATAGTTAACACCAGAGTGAAAAAAGAGAAAGAAAACATGATGGTATCTGAACATCTGGATAGGCTGTGGAAAAAAATCAGTCCTCTGTTTTTCCCTGTGCAGCCAAATATCCAAAGTGATATTGGTTGGTTGGTTGGTTTTCGTCTTTTCCTTTTTCTCCAAATGTTTTGCTGTTGCACTTCTGTACCATATCCTTTTGTATTACATAATGGAATTATGGTTCTCCCTCTAACGCTGCTAGAAGTAGAGTTATGCGATGCAGTGAGAACCTGGCCTCTGGGGTCAAGTTTGCTGGATTCAATCTATGTGCTGCCACTAAGAGGTTTTATAAGCTTGACTCTGGGTGAATTGCTTAACTTGCGTGTGCCCCTATTTCCTCATCTGTAAAATGGGATTTAAATGGCATAATGTCTATAAAGGACATAATACAGGGTCTGCAAAGTTGTGAGACTTCAGGAAAGTTACTTCCTCTGGTGGTGCTGATGATGGCAGTGAGTGACCACGTGTCCTGCATTTGGCGACACCTCTGCTTTTGACACATTCATTGCTCCCTCCCACAGTCTGGTCATCCAAATATTTCCCTATCCTCACATGTCATCTCTCTAGGGCCATGCTTTCTTCTTTCCTTCCTCTAAACACCTCTTTCTTTTCTTCTATTCTGGCTCTCCTTATTTCTTCTTTGTTTTTCTTCTTTCCTTGTTAAGAGAAAGACACGTTCATTAAGCCGCAGCCCTCATAATTTTCATTTCTAGTTCCCAAGGAACATGATTCTAAATGCTTCTTTTATTTCAACATTTTCCAAAGAATGTTCTGAAGAATATAGTCCCATGGGAAAAATATGTTCTGTGAACTATAACACCCTCTTAAAGATCTCAAGGCATAATAGCATTTTAAAGGTCCTGAGAAGTCTTGCAGTAGAGAACTCCTCCTAAGGTTAACACAGTGGTTCCCAACCAGTTGATCCCTGAACCATTTATCGCATAATGCCAATTAACATTTCTTGGGGCACACTCTGGGATATCCTATTTTGACCACATTTGTTTTCATTTTGGTTCCTCTTATGGATGTCCTACTTTACACTTCCCCAGGAGAATATCCAAAGGGATATTTTGTTTTTTCTTGCTTGCTAAGGACATAAGATTGATCATGTGTGCCTTACTGTTATATATAAAATCTGGCCTAAAGTGGAGATCAGGAGTCAGCAAACCTTTTCTGCAATGGGCCAGATAATAGGCCATATGGTTTCTGTTGCAGCTATTCGAGTGTGCTGGTGTAATATAAAACAGCCATAGACAAAACAAAAAATAAGCATGGGTATGTTCCAACAAAACTTTCTTTACAAAATTGGTGAAAGGCAGGATATGACCCAGGGGCCATCGCTGACTGCTGGTCTAGAGCCTTTCTGTGAAAGAATGCCTCCTTCCAGCACAGGAGAAAGCAAAACAAGTTCCTTACAAACTGAAGACTACCTGGTCCTGCTTCCCTATTGTTATGATCTGAATGTTTGCATTCCCCAAAAAATTCCTTCTGAAATTTGAAATTCTAATACCCAAGGTGGTGGTATTATGAAGCAAAGCGGGGCTTTGGGAGAAGTAATTTTAGATCATGAGGGCAGTGCTATCACTAATGGGATTAGTGCCCTTATAAAATAGGCCCAAGGGGGCTTGTTCACCCCTTCTGCCATGTGAGGACATAGCTATAAACCAGAAAGTGGGTTCTCACCAGACACTGAATTTGCCAGCACTTGATCTTGGACTTCTCAGCCTCCAGACCTGTGAGAAATAAAAGCTTGTTGTTTAGAAGCCACCCAGTTAATGGTATTCTGTTGTAGCTGCTTAAATGGAGTAAGACACCTGTCCTGGGTATTTTGGTGGATTTTCATGCTATAGCAAAGAGTAAAAAGGCAAACTCCTTGGTAGAGGCCAAACTCCTGAGTCCTGATTTTGTCCTCTCTCTTTTCTTCAGGTGAACAACCCCCTACTGTTATCCTGTTCGTGACTCTTTAGCTCACACGGTGTAAGATGAAGTGCTCTATTAAATGTGTTTTATATGTGTGAGAATGTCAGGGTGCAAGTCTTATGGAGTTAGGTCACAGAGCTTATGTCAGTTGCTTGACACATAGGGGTAGCAATCACAGTAGTGGAAAGTGGTTGGCTCTAGTAACTAGTAAGGTGTTTAACAATATGTACTCAAAGCCAGACTGCCTGGGTTTGAATCGTAGCTCTGCCACTCATTGGTTGTATGACCGTTGGCAGGTCTCCTAAGCTTCCTAAGCCTCAGTTTCCTCGTCAGTGTATTGGGGATAATAACTTTATAGGGTTGTTGTGATTATAAAATGAATTAATATTGGCAAAGTTCTCAAACAATGCCCAGCACCTACAATTGCTATGGGAGTATTATAATAATTATAGGTAACACTTGCATAGCAATTTCTGTGTAATCTCCAGAATGATCCCATTTTACAGATGGGGTCTTGTAAGTTGGGGTTTTGTAAGTTGCCCAAAATTACACAGCTGAAACATTGGGCAGAACCAGGATTCCAAGTCAGTTCTAATGACAAAGCCTATATTTCCACTAATGTACACAGCCTTTCATATTTAAGTCATTCAACAGTACCTTTTAGCATCTCCCCTTTTATCTTCCCCTGGCTTTTTTTTTTTTTTTTTTTTTTTGAGACAGAGTCTCACTTTGTTGCCCAGGCTAGAGGGAGTGCTGTGGGGTCACAGCAACCTCAAACTCCTGGGCTCAAGCAATCCTACTGCCTCAGCCTCCCAAGTAGCTGGGACTACAGGCATGCGCCACCATGCCCAGCTAACTTTTTCTATATATATTAGTTGGCCAATTAATTTCTTTCTATTTATAGTAGAGATGGGGTCTTGCTCTTGCTCAGGTTGGTTTTGAACTCTTGAACTCAAGCAATCTGCCCGCCTGGGCCCCCCAGAGTGCTAGGATTACAGGCGTGAGCTACCGCGCCCAGCCCCTGGCTTTTTTTTTTTTGAGACAGAGTCTTGCTCTGTTGCCTGGGCTACAGTGCTGTGGCATCAGCTAGTTCACAGCAACCTCAAACTCCTGGGTTCAAGCAATCCTCTAGCCTCAGTTTCCTGAGTAGCTGGGACTACAGGTAAGCACCACCATGCCTGGCTAATGTTTTCTGTTTTTGTAGTTCTCAGCTAATTATTTCTATTTTTTTGTAGAGACAGGGTCTTGCTCGTGCTCACTTAGGCTGGTCTGGAACTCCTGACCTCAAGGGATCCTCCTGCCTTGGTCTCCCATAGTGCTAGGATTACAGGCATGAGCCACCACACCAGCCTATCTTCTCTTTGATTCCCAGGGTGTTTTCTATTATTCTGTACCTGTACCCATGGCAGACATGATTAATCAATTGTATCACTCATCTTCCTTCCTTCCATCTCCCTTCCTTCCTTCTTTTTAACTGAGTCTGGTGATAGCTTTACTTTTCTTCTCAGTTTGGCAATCTTGAATGCCCCACCAACTGATCAGAGCTGGCATGTAAAAATGAAACTTAGGGGCTCTGGTTTTGGAGTATTGTTCTGAAGAGCTCTTTCCATTTTTGCCTTTTTTTTTTTCCAAGGCAGAGCTAATCCCCTGAATCACTGCCAGGTCTCAAAACATTCTTTCCAGGTTTGGCCACAGCCCCAAACTCTTTGGCATCTGTTGAAACAGCTTCCCATGCAAGGTCTTCAAGGGGCATATTTTTAAACTTACCAGTCTCTTCTCAGGTCCAGACCAACTCTCTGAGCTCAGCTTTTCTTCCTAGTTGCAGGCCCACAGCCTCAGCCTTTTTTTCCTCCCCCTTTTGAAGCTGCTGTTATCTAGTTTCTTGCCTGGGAAATTCGTCTTCTACCACTGGCATTCGTCTTCCCAGCTCCACCTCTGTGCTGCCCTGAGACAGCACTACAGCTCTTGCATGCTACGGGGCTGAACTATTTATCACTGCAGGGAAACCACAACGCGGAAGTCACTCGGCCTAGGA